AAGAGGTTTAGCGTCCAAGATGTCATTGCCAACATTTGCAGCTAAGAAGCAGTTGATTCATGTTGTGCAGTACATGACAAAGACAGATGGTTACCATTGCACGTATAGGAAAACACCTCGAGGAATGTCAAACCTCAACGAGAGCATTCGCAACGGAACCTATGACTTTTCCCAAGTCAAACCCAAGGAACATCACTTGTTGGAGGTATACTCCGATTCAGATTGGGCAGGACAGAAAGACAGTCGTCGCAGCACAAGTTCAGGAACTGTGTTTCTGGATTCTCAACTGATCTATGCATTCTCTAGGACCCAAAGGAGTATTTCTCTGTCTTCTGGAGAGGCAGAATATTACGCCGCAGCTAGTTCAGCTAGTGACTCTTTGTTGCTCAAGGAAGCGATAGAATTCCTCACCTGTAGGAAGTGCGTAGTGCATTTGCATCTAGATTCTTCCGCTGCTCGTGGTATCATTACCAGGCAGGGAGTAGGAAGAGTGAAACATTTGCAGATTAGGACCCTCTTTCTCCAGGACCTCCACAAACAAGGAATTCTTAGTGTCCACCCGGTAGGTACCAGGGATAACACTGCTGATATAGGAACTAAGCCGCTTTCAGGAAAACGCATTAAGTTGTTGATGCATTGGCTAGGCTTCAAGGACGAACAAAACCAACCAGTAGGAATTGAAGAGCTTCAAGAACATCGACAGCAGGAACAAGCTAAGGCCACAGTCAAGAGAATCAAGTCCAAAGGAAACTTCGCATTTGCAGCTTTGTTGTTCTCTTTGCTTTCAGGAAGTTTGGAAGGTTGCTCAAAGGTTGAAGTAGCTTCAGGAACATGTCTTTTGCAGTCGTGCAGTACATGTGTAGGAACTGTGCAGGAACATGTCGGCATGTGCAGTGACACGAGTGCATGTGCATTAGGATTGCAGGAACAGCTTAGGGTAGGAAACATTTGCAGCTCGATGCCTCGAGTGAAGGACCTCTGTTTTAGGAACCTTGAAAAGGAAGAGACAGTAGCTGTAGAGAAGGAAGTAGCAGCTATGGAACCGAGTGCCTCCGAGAAGGAACGTTGGTTCAGAGAGCTCACCTCTCAGTTGAACCAGTTGAAAGAAGCCCAAGGAACCACGAACGTGTTGCTCAGAGAACAGCGTCGCGAACAGGCAAGCCTCAAGGAACAGATTGAGGACCAACACCTGCGAGATGTGGAGATGCTCAGGCATTTGAAGGAAAGGATAGAAGCTTTGGAGACCAAGATCGCCGAGTACGAGAAGGAAGAAGAAGAAGAGAGCCAAGGAATGATCTGGTGGAAGCAGCAAGAAGAAGAAAGAGCAGCGAAGATGGAAAGAGAGCTACGAAGAACAGGACATGGTCGAGGAGAAGCAGGAAGTGAAGAAGAGGAAGAAGAAGAAGGATCAAGTTCTACCACACCAAGATCTTCGTCGGCGTCTACTACATCAACGCAGGAGGAAAAGAGGAAGGAAAAGGAGAGGAAAGAGAAGATCAGGAAAGTGAATGAGGAGCTGAGGAAAAGAGAAGAAGAGGAGAAGGAAAAGGAAAAAGGTTTTGCGTACCCCTACGACGACACCGAGTACAAGATCTACGTGGAGAATGGCAAGGTGTACAAGCAGCACAGGATCACGGGCGAGAAGGTCGAAGTTGGCGTCGACTACGTCTACAAGTACCAGAAAGGAAAGGAAGGAAAAGGAAAAGGACCAGGAAAAGGAAGCACCAAGAACACAGCCACAGGAGCGAGCAGCAGCTCTGACAAGCAGGCAAGCGCAGCAGTCGCTGAAGCAGCAGGAGTTACACCACAGGAAGAAGGAGCCACGCAGGAAGCAGAGAAGCAGGTAGAGAAGGATGAGAAGAAGTGGCAGAAGGAACGCGAAAGGCGAGAAAGAATCAGGAAGAGGAAAGCCGAGGAGAAAGCCAGGAAGGAGAAGGAAGAAGCAGAAGAGGAAAGGAAAAGACAGGAAGCCACAGCAGAAGAGGAAAGGAAGAAGCAGGAAGCAGCAGCAAAAGAAGGAAGGAAGAAGCAGGAAGCAGCAGCAGCAGAGGAGAGAAAGAAGCAGGAAGCCGCAGCAGAAGAAGAAAGGAAGAAGCAGGAAGCCGCAGCAGAAGAGGAAAGGAAGAAAAGGCAGGCAGCAGCAGCAGCAGAGGAAAAGGACAGGAAGAGACGAGAGGCAGCAGCAGCGGCAGAAGCAGAAAGGAAGAGACGAGAGGCAGCAGCAGCAGAAGCAGAGAGGAAGAAGCAAGAGGCAGCAACAAGAGAAGGAAAAGAAGATGAAAATGAAAGTTTGAGGATTGAGATGGCCCAGCTTCGTGAGTTGGTCAGAGGAATGAAGGAACAGCAAGCTTCAGACAAAAGGAAGATCGTCTCGCTTCAGGAAGAGCTCAAGAAGGCCACAGACAGTGAAGGAAGCACAGGAGAAGGAAAGAAGAAGGACAAGGCGATTGGCCCACAGGATCGAAGCCAATTCAGAGTTGGAGGAAGTGAAGGAGCTCAGGAACTGTATGCGATCTTTCCTTACGAAGGATCAGATTTCCAGTGGAAATGGGTGCAGGCCACAAAGGCATGGCTCTACTACGACGTGAACCAGAACTTGTGGATCAAGGACAGCGAAGATGAAGATGGAGGAAGGATCTGCAAGGAACAGGAGAAGCAAGTGAAAGGATGAAGGAAGGAAAAGAAGCGAAGGAGAAGAAAAGCAAGGAAAAGCAGAGGAAGGATCAGCAGCGCTCAGTCGAGCAGTGAGGAGTGAGTTTCAAGATGAGAAGGAAGCCAGAACAAAGGATGGAGTATCCGTTCTACTGGCAACTTTCAGGAACTTTGTTTTCGCTTTTGTTGACTAAAGGAAAATGATCCGAGTAATCAACTTAGCCCACGACAGTCGAAGCTAGCTTAGTCTAGGAACGACTTTCACCAGCTTCGAAGGCGGGGTGTTAAACATCTACGCAGTACAGGAAGCTGTGCACCAGGTGCATGTGGAATGCACACCAGAGCCTCGGAACGTCTTGTCGACGACAGGCTCGAACAAGGACACACACCGCAGCGAACCCAGGAAAAGTGCGGAGTGTCCCAGCTTTTCAGTTAGCTTTAGATTGACCCTATCTTTGACATGCTCACGACTGTGCGTTTAGCTGCAGCAGCAGATGGCCTTGTGACAGCAGTTTGTTGGGGCATGCCAGGGTTTTACCTGTTCCGCAAACGTGATCATCCTGTTTGTGCGGTATTCATGCTGTCTGTCTTTTTGCAAGTCGTAGGTGCCGCCAGCCAGCAGGATGAAGAGCCCGAAGACACGTTGCTTCCAGTTCCCTTAGACGCCGACCTGATGCTTGCAGTTTGCATTTTCGGTATCGCGTTTTGTGCCATTGGTTTATGGGAGTTTCTGAAGTGGGGTTTTGCCTTCTTGTCACGCAGAGCCTTCGGCACGAGCAGTGTGCCGCTAAGCCCGCGATAGGCACGCAAGCTGCAGCGTCTTCGGGACCGCACGGGCAGAAATCTCTGAGAGGGAAGCAGCGGCCAGTTCCTCACAGCGTCTTGCGACCGCTTCCGGGAGGAATGCGCTAGCTTCCACCAGGCAGGCCGATGAAGCACCAACTCGTTTCTTTGCAACCCCTGAGGGGGAGAAGCTCCATCGCACCAAGGACTGTCCTGCAATTGCAAGGTCATCCAATCTTTGCACATTTGAGGTGTGTCAGCGGTGCCACCGGCGTGCACCAGATCACCCTTTCTTCCGTAGGAGCTTGTACCTCCTCCCAGAAGGGACGGACATGTACAGGTTTTTGATTGTCGCTTCCTCCTGGCGAAGGAGCGAAGGAGGAGTGTGGAAGCGTAGTACCTGCACATGTCTGGTTGTAGCTCGTTGTTTTCCTGTTGCTCCTAGGCCCAAGCACAGAACGCCTTGAGCATAACACATTTTAATGTATGTATATACTGTAGTGCCGTCGCCTCACTGTAGCGCATAGCATAGCAATCCTTCAAGACTTTGCTGTTCGTTTTGTTGCCCGCTTGTGTAAAAGAGTTACTCCGCCCGTTGTGTGAGCCATGTCTGCTGGGGAAAGGGATGGGACTGGGGAATTAGCTACTCCACTAGTGCCTCCTGCTCAGCCTGCTGGTTCACACCAGCATTTAGGCTTATCTTACCTGGTTCTCAGTCGGGAATTGGGGGTTGTAGGTTTCCCTAGAACACCCCTTAGTAAGGGGTTGAGAGGGGAGATAGAGGTGCCCAAGTAGGGCACAAGGCTGTAAAGTTTGTGGAAAAAGGTTTCTGATCCTGCCGGAGGCTGCTGCCCGCTTGCTGCAGCCACCTGATGGCGGCCTGGATCCTACAGATGCTGCTTGCATATGTGTCAACTAGACAAGTCAATGCGTGATGTAACTCGCAAACATGTACACCAAATTGAAAAAGTCAGCACGCAGATGGCGGCGGGATTCTCTTCGTCGCCCACATGTCAGTTCTAAGGGTAGTTTATGGCCCCTGAATTGGTCCCTTACCCTCTCTCAAGGGTTCTGATGTATATAAAGGGTATAGAAGCTGTCCCCTTCTATAAGGGCCCATACGAAGGGACCATGAAACTACCCTAAGATTCATGCCACACTCCATCAAGGTCATGAGGGCTAGGGGCCAAAAAACTTCGAAGGTCAGTGTGCTGGACAAGTTGGACTGCGCGCAGCACTTACGCAGTCCTCAGGCCCACCCTAAACCCTAAACCCTGAATCCTAAGCCCTATAAGCCCTATCATCCAATCTGCCCTAAACCCTATGAAGTCCCAAACCCTAAACCCTAAACCCTGAACCCTAAACCCTAAACCCTATGAAGCCCCAAACGCTCAACCCTAAACCCTAAACCCTAAACCCTGAACCCTGAACCCTAAACCCTAAACCCTATGAAGTCCCAAACCCTCAACCCTAAACCCTAAACCCTAAATCCCAAACCCTAAACCCTAAACCCTGAACCCTAAACCCGTCCCAAACCCTCAACCACCCCCAAACCTGGAGTGCGCCTCGCTTCTCGGCCGTGGTCAGCGATGATGCGGTCGTCGCGGCCGAGGTTGCCTCAGTCGGGGAGTTCCTCTGCCAGGGTTTAGGGTTTAGGGTTTAGGGTTTAGGGCCTTGTGAAGGCTGCGTCCCATGTGAGGGGAGCTTGTCTCGGGTTTCGGGCTAAATCCCGGGGGCGGAGTTTATGGAGGTTACCTCGGGGAAGGTGGGACGTCAGTGCCGGGAGGCGTGTCCAGAGTCGCTGCAAGTCCTGCCAGCAATCATGGCGCAGGGTTTAGGGTTTAGGGTTTAAGGTTTAAGTTTTAGGGTTTCTGGCAGTTTCTGGAATGTCAAGTAAATGGGCGGAAGAAGGACCCTTCTAACGGCCACTGGGGGTTATTTCTGGAGCTATTTGGGCGCTTCTTAGGCGTACAGGGACCGCACTGTATCCCTGTATAAGGTGTTGGTAGCATCGTCAGCCGCACTTGGCTGTAGACGATCACCTGGCAGACGAAAAAAATGGTGAAAGCAACTCATTGGGGGCCGCGCAGTGGGCGATGAGCGTCTTGCCCCGTGTCGCCCCTGCGCACCGTGCCCCTCTCCGACACCTTGAGTGCAGAGAGGGGGGGCCTCGGTGGAGGCCTTTGCAAGACAAATCGCAGTCGCCATAAAAGGGGACATGTCATTCCCAATGCCTTTGAAATAGCAGTCGGGCTGAAGCAAACGCATGCATCAAACGAATACTATGACCCAGGTCTCAGCACGGAAAACCCTGTAGGAAGGATCTCGAGAATGCTCGCACAACATCAAATAGCTTAGTATCCTTGAAGCCAGCGAGAATGTCAAAGAGCGGGTGGAGGAAATACCTAGGGCAGTCCTCATCCACTGAAACGCACGCAGGTGGGCCATCAGCATAGCTAGTGCTTCAGCTTTTTCCACAGCTCCTTTTCGAGCTGTGTTTGCGTGCTGAGAGCAGGAAGGATTTCGATACCGGCCGTCTGGAACTTGGGATTGTTGCGAAGGAGAGTCCCCAAATTTTCACGAATCTCTGGGCTGGCCACGACTGAGAGCGAGATGTGCCAGACCCACTTGCGTCCGTCCTTGGGCTGCCTGAACTTTGGTTTGCAGTCCTGCATTTGTGTCTCCCATTGCTCAGGGGGCATCTCAAAGAGAACCTTGATCGTAGCCCAAGGCTCTTCTTGTTCTGTTTGACCAGCTGCAATGGCCTTGGACATAGCCTTGAGGATATACTGGATGGCCAACGTCTTGCGTGAGAGCTTCATGGGGTGTTCGGGGAAGATGCGATTCTTCACCTGTTGGTCTGTACGTTTGGGGAGTTGCTCGAACCACTGGGCCATCAGATTGGCGAGCTCTGCCTTCGTTTCCTCGGTGCTGATGAGGACGGCGATGGTGCTGGAGTCGAAGGCCGTGCGAATCATGTTCTGGCTTTGCAAAGTGAGGCGTAGCGTTTCCCTCAGCAGCTCAGCGTCCGCGGCGCTGTCATGTGACTGGGAGGCCTGTCCCTTGTTTGGTCCTTTGCCACCACCACGCTGTTGCTTGGATTGGCGCTCGCCCTTGGCAAGCTGCATTGCCGCTTCGAGTGCCGCCATGTGTGAGTGCCGCTATTCCCGCTAAATAAAACTCTGGCAAGACAAGGAGGTTGCTTCTCCAAATAGCTGCGCTAAGCATGGTTTGTTAGCTGTAATTCACATGTACGTCAGCGAATCCGCTAAAAGAGCACGTGAGCAGGAAGCGCATTTTTTGCATCGCCCGCACAAACCCCAGCATTTTTGTTGTCTGCAACTTGGACATTTGCGACAGAGTGAACATAGTTGTCCAGTAGCCGAGTCATAGCACGACGCCTGTATGACATCTTGCGAGACCTCATGGTTGGGGTTCTGGGCGAGGATGGTGCGGAACTTGTCTCGGCAAGTAGCGGCCGCTTGCTCCAACTCCTGAACACGGGCCGACGCTGCATGGACTCCACGGCGGACTTGACCTTGAGCCAGAGGAGGTAGTACATGAAATTGACCAGTGTCGACCGGGAGACCCTCCTTGATTCTGCGTTTGCGGCATTCGTGAGCATGACGGGCACATCCTCGAGCTTCCAAGAAGGGCGTTCCACATTGGTTGCATTTGACTTCACTTTGAAGTCCTTCTCTAACCATGCGAATGCCTCGTAGCCAAACATTGTAGGGCATATCCTTGCAGAGCTTCTCGTGGTTCGTGACGGCTCCTTTTGGCACAATGGTACCACACCATTGGCACATCCGAGGAGGCAGCTCAGGATCTCTTTCCCACCAAGCGGGTAGGTCCGAGATGCCGTTTCTTCGTTTGCTGCGGCTTTGCGGCGCTTCCCGAGCTTCACCAACTTGTCTGCGAGGACGTCGTGGTGCATTCTTTGCCTGGGCAGGAGCAGGTTCCGGTGGGGGAGCCAAGGGAGCACCAGGCGGGGGAGGTGTCTTGCCTCGAATTCGACGGAAAACCAGACCCGGTGCCCCAGGCGGTTGTGCTGCGGCTGCACATGAGGGGCCTGAACCGGATCGCGAAGTGGAGCATGCATAGCTTGCAGTCGACGTTGACGTTGCAGCCGGGCCTCACGTGCATTTAGTTGTTGAGCCGGCGTAAGCAAAGCGCAACTTCGAGCATGCATCCATATACGATTGGCCGCGAAAGGATCATTGCAGTGAGGACAAAGGAAAAGATCATCGCCTTGTTGAGTCAAGTTGGCCAGTTCTGCTTTACGCCGAGCACGTTGTTGAGCTTGGGTTTCAGCTTTACCTCCAGGTGCATGACGGACTCGCCAGAGGTCGTTGTCCTCTGCGGCCTCCTTACGTTGCTGCCATTTGCGTATGTCTGAGCGCCATAGTTTGCCGTCTTCTGTCTGCGCCCTGTGGACCCAATCTGTGTCCCACGTTGTCGATGGAATGTCCAGCGTAGTCTTGAAGTCTTGTAGAAGCGACCAAAGCCCCGTAGATGTGTCATTGGTGCCCCGACAACGCTTTCGTCTGGATCGTCTCCCCGGTCCGTGGTGTTCATGCCATAGCCAAAGAGCCTGTTTTTCCAGGCGGGTATCGTCCAAGCGAGCCACATGTCCCAACCAACGAAGTTGTCTGATCCCGATGGCCACCGCAATGGAGGGGATGCCCAGCTTGCGTCGAAGATCGACCATGGTCACCTTATCGTCGTGCATGTGGCGTTGTTTAACATTTAACATCCCAAGTGTACAGCGGTTGACAAAGGTCTGCATCCTGCGAATCTCAGGTTTAGTAAATGCTCTTGCCTCTGCACTGTATAGCATGGTGGCCATCACTGTCGACTCGAAAAGCATTCCCATGATCCTTGGTGGCAGCGTCAAACGATACGCTTGTTTCCAAAGCTTTGTCCATAGTTGTTTGCCACGCTGGAGCCTTTTTTCCGTATCGACAGACTGGGATGCCTCGTTGGTGATCCACGCGCCCAGGAAACGAGCTTCGTCTTTCAGAGTTTCGGGGTCAACCCCAGCTTGTCGTGCCGCTTCCTCCAGGGACAAACCTAGAGGTAAGCGTTCGGTTTTGCCAGCGTGTAGGTCTTCGCCCCATAGGCCCAACACTTGTCGAAGATGTTGCTCGTCTGTAAGATGCTGCTCGACCGTTGTGAAAATAGTCGTGTCATCAGCAAACAACACATCGTCCAGTTCGAAATTGATGTTCTCGTCCGTGACATTGCGAGGTCTACGTACCTTGTCAAAACGTGTATTGTAGTTAACGCCTCCTCGAAGAGCAGCGGTCCCCTGTTGCCGTCGCCGTTCTTTTGCAAACTGCTGCAAAGGAAAAGTGTGATACAAATTGAAGCACGCCGGGCTGCTCGGGCAGCCTTCCCTGAAGCCCCTGGAATTTGTATAGGTCCTTCCCAGGCCCGCCCCAGTCTTAATACGATAGACAGCTCTGTCGTGTAGGCCATGTAGTACTCGTGTTAGCATGGGTGGCATTCCAAGACGATCAAAGAGTTGCCATGCCAAGGATCGTGGGACTCGCGGATATGCTTTACGAATATCGATGAGCAATAACAGAGGGTGATGGTCTGTCGATGGGTGGGCCCTGAATGTTTCCGCAATGAGTCTGACCAGCATGATGGGCCCGATAGTAGACCTGTGCTTACGAAAACCATATTGTTGATTGGGCAACAAGTTCCGCGACTCAGAAAAACGTTGTATGCGGCCATCCACCACTTTGGCCAAAAGCCTTGAAATGACGTTGATGAGCTGGATGCAACGATAATTCCCAGGATCATCTCGTGGACCCTTCTTGTATAGTAGGACTCCCACCACCTCGTGTATCGTGTCTTCCCAGGTTGCAGGCTCGGTGTTCCATAGGTTTTGTATTGTTTTGGCTACCAAGCGTTGAAACCAGGGCCCCATCGCGCGAATACAGCCAACCGTTATACCATCTGTGCCACCTTTTGCATCTCTCATTTTTCCCAAAGCGGACAAGACTTCCATCTCCGTGGGCGTGGTGTCCAGCTCCCATGCCACTTCTTGTTGGGGAGGTAGAAGTTCTTGCATATTTGGTGGCAGTACAAAAGGTTCATTGCCAACTGCCTCAATGAACTTGGTCGCCTCCTCCAATCCAAAGGGAACTGAACCCTCGAAGCTTTTGCCTTTGATATGGACGCCCAGGGCACGGAGGTGATGGTAAAATTGGCGAGTGTCATGGAGTCGCATGGCAGCGTCTAGTTTCTTGCAGAGTTGCGCTACCCATTGTGCTCTTTGTCGTCGTGCCCATTGTTGTAGTGACCGCTTGTAGCGCTTCACCTCCATGTATCGTTCCTGTTCGTCGGCACCGCGGCGTGCTTGGTGGAAGGCTGTTTGTAGTTCCTGAAGGTGAGTCTTGCGTCTGTCGAGCTCCTCTAAGGCCGAGGCGGTGTACGGAACTGCACGTTGATGGGGTTTGCGAAGGGGAATGCACTCATCCATGACCGTTTTGCATAAGCCAGCCAATTCGGGCCAAGGCATGGTTGGCATCGTAGGCAACGGTGGCGGTTCGTGAATGAGGGTTGACGCGCCCTCAAAAAGCTGTAATTTGCCGGTGGCTCCATCTTTTGCGGCTGAGTCCACGATGTCATTGTTCAGCGACCAAAAGTCCTGATGCCCTGTGTGAGATTTGACGTGGCGGAAGGAGATTACCATCTTTGCTTGACAACGTTGGAGCCATTCCTGTGCAGTTGACGCCAGTTGTGTGTTGGTTCTTGGTAGCCAATGTCCTTGGGCGCAGTTGCATGCATAAGTGCTGTCATATGCAATGATTGCCTCACCAGTAAAGTCAGATTGCCAAAGCCAAATAAGTGCCATGATCATAGCTGAAAGCTCACCAGTGTTGTTGGTACGCTTATCTGCTCCAATCCACATCTCGTGCCGTCGTTGTGTGTACACAGGCCCATGGAACGTTAGGTTCGCCTCAGGTATCCAGACACCCCAGCCGGCGACAGCGTTGTTGTCAAAGGAACCCTTGTCCAAGTAGGAGCCGTCCACGAACAAGTGTATGTTGACGTTCTGCTGCGTGGGGCAAAAGTGTATCTGAGGTAGGAGGGGTTGTAGTAAGCGGTCCATGTGACTGCGAAGCTGAGCTCGTAAATTTTGAGCTTCGGGAGATGGGCCACGTATTGCCTCCATGTCCAGTTGTGGCTGCGATGAATAACGTGCGGCCTGTAGGAAACGACGACCTCGCCAATCGGCTTGTGAGCCTGTAACCAAGTGGAAACATGCCATCTTCGCCAAATGGTCGGAATATGGAAATGGTTGAACCCGCATATGTTGTGTCATTTTCTTCATGTCCAATGTCCCAATGAAATAGTCCAGCTCATAGAACTTTCGGTTGAGGGTGTGGCGCCATGTTCCTCGATTGCGGACGAGGAACTGATGGTCCAGGTTGACTAAGTAGGCATGGAGCTCCAGGAAGAGCAGCACATCTTGTCCTCCGGCAGTGGTTGGTTGATGTAATCCGTGTGGTCCTGCATCTTGCCCCAGGTGACCATTCCAATCACCTCCCAATAAGAGGTGGTTCCGAGGAAGAGGACGTATCAAGGTGGTCAAGTCTGCAAAGAACTGACGGCGCAAGTGTCGCTCTGATTGAACTGGGGCATACACAGCACCAAAATGGTATGTGTGTTCTCTCCATTTCAAGCCTATGATGAACGCTCTTTGTCCCAAGTGTTTGTAAATGCGGCCAGACGTCTCCCAAGTTTGTCTAGTAGGAGAATCCAGTAAAAAGCCCACTCTGTGCCATTGTATGAAAACGAATTCTTCGATGTATACCACTTGCGGTTTGCATGTAGTCTCATCCTGCCAGTCTTCTGCACAAGTGTGCAAATCTGAAAGCATCACCATCGACCAGTTTAAGCTGCGAGCCTGCTGTATCAAAGCCCGTAACTTGTGAGCGTGTGCCAGGAGGCGCCAATTAAGGCCCTGTGTATTCAGAGCCACGCACTTGAAGTGTGGTTTGACCATACGACTAGCGCGGTACGGTTTGCGAATTCTGCCATGCCACCGACCATGACTAGAGAACTGAGTTGGTGCCACAACTGGCCCAAGGAGCTTGCTAGGCATGTTGTCTGCTGCAGGGACACGAATGGCATTGGATGCCGCTCCACAGGCTACCCCCTGCATGAGGCCTGCGAGTCTCATATGGCGGAGCTCCACCATCATCATAAACGCGGGCTGACCCGCCGGCTATGCTCCGTCTGATGGGTCTGTTTGCCGCAACTGACTATCACATGATTGCAAATCAACTGCGTACCTCCTAGCCACCTCGAAGAGGTAGACCCGAGCCAGGCACTGTATCCCTCGGTTAAAAGTTTAGGAGAGGGCGATTGAGGTTAAGGCCCCTTGAGACGACCATCAGAACTTCTGGGCCTTCTTATTGAGTTCCCATTGTATGACGTTCTTGAAGTATTGAGGTCGACGCCGCTCTGGCTCAGCGGCTTGGCATCTTGCAGTATGCCAGGTGGTGAACTGGCTCGCATCTTCTGAACACCCCCAAACCCCAAAAGCGAATGTCAAATCTTCGGGAGAAAGACATCATGGCGTCCTGCTCGAGCCCAACTCAACAAGACACAAAATTGGCCTTGGCATCTCCTGCTTGGGGGAGCCGGTTGAGAGAGGACTCTTTGCCACAGCAGGGCTGGCGGGATTCGGGTTTAGGGTTGAGGGTTTAAGGCAACCTTGCTAGTGCTCCGAACCTAACGATATGGCACCCATTCCCTGGAGCTCCTGATGCATACTCATCGAAACCCCAAACACCCCAAACAACCCAAACAACCCTGCCCAACAGAACCCTGTCCTTCAGCATCTCCTCGCGCGTTCCCTCGGCCCCCCGCTTCACCCGCGCGGTGCGGTGACGAGAGTAGCCGCCCAACAACTCGTCTGCACCTTTCAATTTTTATTTTTGGGGCTGCCTTTAAGGAGGATTCTACTATACTAGTGATATAGACAGCGGCCCGAGAAAATCCCACATGGGGACAGTCATGATTTGGGGCGGCTTCAGGTTTTAGCAAGTTCAGTGTTTAGTCCTAGGCTATGTGGCTTGCATGCTCGTTGTTAGGTTGCCTTGGGCCGAAGGGTTTGGGCTGGGTATTTCGTTTTTGGGCCTGGGCTTGGGCTTGGGCCTGGGCTTGGGCTTCGACATTTGTCGGGCGGGGCTGACTTCGGCTGCAGAGATGAGGGTTTGGTGGGGTCTCCCAACCCACAGAATATATTTGACTACATATGGACTGCCAGCGGCCCCAAATTCCAGGGGGTCGGAGAACTGCAACCCAAGAAACCTTCTTTGTACTTAGAGGTGGGGGTGGGGTCAAGAGGACTCTACGAGTCTCCCGTTGCTGCGTGAGAAGCTGGATGGCCAGCCGGACATCCAGGTTAAGTGGCTGGTTCTTCTTAGGGTTTCTATGTGGTGAGGCTTTACTTCGTAGCCCTGTAACCATATTATAATAAGGGCAATCTTTTTTTGGTTGGTTACTTGATAAGGGAACCCAGAACCCAAAAAAAGGGTAAAGGGTACCACTGGTCTACCAAGTTTATGTAAGATGGGCTGGGATGCGGGCTCTTAGATGTTTGATCGAACTGCATTCGAATGGATGAGCCGTGATATGTACATCTTTATCTGCGACCCGGACTATGTTCGAGCCGACATGCGTGTTCTAGCTCTTCTAGCTCCAAGCGGAGAGATGGTGCAAGCGCAACACCCGCTTCGAGATGTGCAGCAACACGTAGAAGCTTCCTCAATGATGTGGACCCTGGACCCTATTCTGCCCAAAACCCTAAAAAATCCTATACAGAAAAAAGCCCCTGTAAGGGTTTTAGGGTTTAAGGGTTCTTTTTTTTTGGGGGGGGTGCTGGGTTTTGGGGCTTTGGGGCTTCGGGCCCGGGGCTTGCCGTTCTCCCGTTTTCGAGGGTCCGGCCGGTGCCCACGAGGAGGACGCGGCTGGCCGCGCGCACTTCCACAGCCTGCGGCAGGTGGCTGGTGGCAGGAATTTCAAAGTTGAGTACACTATACCATGATCACGAACATGTGGGTTTAATGGTACCCCAAGTACACTATATCATGATCATGAAGATCATTCTACAATTTTTTCATCTGCCACCTTCTGATGGGTTTCGGACATCTTTCTTGCACAGGTCCATCTGACCAGGTGACCGCGGGCAGACTTCCGGAGGGTGTCAAGAAGGTCTGCGTGCAAAGCCAGGGTCATGGACGGAAGGCCTAGAACTAAACCCCATAAACCCTGAACCCTACAACCTAACTACGTCCTACACCCTCCACTTCAAACCCTAAACCCTACCCAAACCCTGAACCCTAAACCCTAAACCCTAAACCCAAAAACAAGAGCTTTCCACAAACCCCCCCCATTGGCACTCCCTGCCTCGTCGCCAGCGCAGCGGCGAGCGCTCATGCAGGTGGTCATCGCGGCCTCAGAAGCAGGTTTAGGGTTTAGGGTTTAGGGTTTAGGGTTTAGGGTTTAGGGTTTAGGGTTTAGGGTTTAGGGTAGCGGAAATCTAAGTCTCCATCGCGGCGGGCATCAGCCCTGAAAGCCCCCTTTTTATGACAGCACTGCTTACAATCCTACTAGCACTAATATGTATTGTGACCCTGCTACCAACATCTGCAAAACACCTGTAGGCTCAAGAAGCCCTAGCTTTAGGCAGCTTCTCCCATGCCCGGGGCCGCCTCCTCGTCAGCCTCCTTCTCCGCAGCGGCAGACGTCTCAGTCCCTGCATGCCACTTACGGGAGGAAGGCTTCGGGGTTTAGGGGTTGGGGACGTTACAAGGGGTTCAGGGGTTTGTAGGGGGTTCTAGGGGTTTAGGCTTTAAGGGGTTACAGGGGTTTATAGGGGCTTAGAGGGGTTTAGGTGTTGAGGGGCCTTGCATCCCATGCAAAAAATATGTGCGGGGCGCGCGCACCACAAGGCGACCGCGCCTGGCCCTGAGGACTTGACCTTGTGCACGGGGCACCAATCGGCTGGCTCCCCAGCTGCCTGGGCCACACACCCAAAAAACTCAAAAGGGGTTGGTTTAGGGTTTAGGGTTTAGGGTTTAGAGTTTAGGGTTTAGGGTATAGGGGACCCCTAAAATCGACCCCACATCGTAGGATTCCCTTATGATGGGGACCCCAAGAAGGCACCCCAATTTCGGAAACCACCATAGAACTGCCACGCCTGTAAGCAGCCCCGAAGGCCCAAAAGGCCCGGAAGCCAAGAACCTCAAGGAGTTGTGAACTTGGGGCCTGAGAACTGATCGCCACTGACTTGACATAGGCGGGTTTAGAATACAACTTTAGCTGTTTCTTAAGAACTATAGTACCTAAAAACACAAATACTAGTAATAAGAAGAAGACTAAAAGAAAATAAATAATACCAATAATAACATAGTATTAATAACAATAAGAATAGTAATAATAATCATGAGAATGATAATAAGAACAATAATAATAGCAGTAACATCCCCATAATAAAAATAATAGCAATAATGATAATAATAACAATAATAAGAATAAGCATAATAATAATGAGATATTCCCAAGTATCCCTAAGCTACTGCTGGGGCGGAAGCCTGGCGCAGCTTGCGGCAGCAGAGCTTGCAGGCACCATGGGGGCAGCCTGGGGAGAAGAAACAGCCTGATTGGGGGAGGCGGGGGTTTAGGGTTTAGGGTTTAGGGTTTAGGGTTTAGGGTTTAGCGTTTAGGGTTTAGGGTTTAGGGTTTAGGGTTTAGGATTTAGGCTTTCGGGTCTAGGGTCTAATCCATAGCAGGATCCGAACTTCGCACCGAACCCAAACCCTGTCGCCCTACCGAGCACTCTAAAACTCACTGAAATTTTGAAACTCCCTAATATAGGGGCCTGAATAAATAGAATAGGGTTTTGGGGGGTTATGAACTATATGGTTATAAAGGGAGCTTAAACCCTAAACGCTAAACCCTACACCCTGAGTAAATAAAATAGGGTTTTTGGGGGGTTATTGTAATATAGTTACAAAGGGACCCTAAGGGAATAGTATTAGTAAAATTATTCCGGCCCCTATATTAGGCCCACCCTTCACTTCCCGCCAACCCCTGCCGTCCTGGCTTGGCGGGGAGGACGCAGCGCACGCAGGGCGCCCTCACCACGGGCGCAGGGGGACCTGCAGTAGGCAAGGCCCTTGGCCACGGGTTCGAGGGTCACTAGGGTTTAGAGCAAAGGAAATTAGGCGTTCAAGTAGAAGTTAGGGGTTTCATCGGGAAACCCCACCCTCTGGACCAGACCGACTGATTTTGTAAGTTAAGTCCCTACTCATACACCCGAAACCTAAACCCTACAAACTTCAGGGTTTCAAGGTTTAGGCCCTAAAAACTTCAGGGTTTCAAGGTTTTGGCCCTAAAAACTTCAGGGTTTCAAGGTTTAGACCCGAAAAACTTCAGGGTTTCAGGGTTTAGACTTAGGGCGCGCGGCGCGCGCGGGGCCTCTCTCAATGGGCTTCAGCGGCTCGAGCTGCACGGCCTCCAACGCCTGGCATGGGAGGCTTCCCTACCTCCTTGCGTGCCAACTATATTTAGGGTTAGGGTTTAGAGCTTAGGGTTCAGGATTTCTGGAACACAAGTCCTGAATGCGGACAAAATCCCAAATAAAGGCTGAAAGTACAAGGGGGAACATCCCAAATCGAAACCTTAAACACCCCCCGAAAAAAAAAAAAAACACCTCCACCGCCAAACCCTGTCCTCACAAGCCCAACCCGGCCAACCAACACTTTCGCCACGGCGAAACTCGCCAAACCAACGCAATTGTTCATCTGGGGTTGGTCTAAAGTATGGTCCCTTTCAGGTTACCCTACATTACATTGGGGTTTACGATAATAGGGGACCCCGATATAGATGCCCAAGTAGCAGGATCCCCTTATAACAAGGACCCCAATAAGGTACGAACACTCTCCCCGAAAGCCGAAAAAGCAAAATTTGCACGCTCTCCACGTTCTATCTTGCCAATGAAGATCTTCTTTGCATCAGTGCCCCAAAGCCCTCACAGCTCCAAGCCAACCTCAAACCCCAAACCCCAAACCCTAAAGCCCTAAACCCCAAACCCTAAACCCGAAACCCTAAAACCCAAACCCTAAAACCCCAAACCCCAAAACCCCCTAAACCCTAAAAACCCCAAACCCTAAACCCCAAAACCCCCTCCGCTATGGTCGCCTCGGCAGCCTTTGCCTGGCGCCACCAGGGGGTGGAGAGCACATGGGGCGAGCAGACCATCCCGTGGCCTCTCCAAGTCAAAGGGGGTTTCAGAGGGCTTCGGGCTTGTAGCAAGCCATCGGGTTTTACTAATGAGCTGAGGCAGGGTTCGTTTTCCCATCTTGGAACCGGGAACCCCTCGAGTTTTTGCACTGTGCGCGCCATTGGCGAGATGGGCTGATGATACAGTATGGGGTTTGGGGTTTCGGGTTTAGGGTTTAGGGTTTAGGGTTATGGGGAGCCGGGCTTTCGCCTGAAAGCAAGGAGCGCATCTGGTTCTGGTTGCTAGAAGCAAAGGCCATCGTTCCATTCCACGCTCGCTCGGGAGGTGCACCGCTCAGTGCTTCTGAAGAGGCCTGCGGTGGGTTCGAATGGCGCCTCAGGCTCTCGAACAGAGTATCCCCTAAACCCTAAACCCCCTACACCCCCTGTACCCCTAAACTCTAAACCCCAAACCTCTAAACCCCACCCCAAACCTCTAAACCCTAAACCCCTAAACCCTAAACCCTAAACCCTAAATCCTAAACCCTAAACCCTAAACCCTAAACCCTAAGCCCTAAACCCCTAGACCAAGGGCCTCGCGCCGCAAACCAGAGGGCCGCCGCGATGTTGAAGTCCAGGTGGGTGGCCTGCTCTGTTTAGGGTTTAGGGTTTAGGGTTTAGGGTTTAGGGTTTAGGGTCTAGGGTTTAGGGTTTAGGGTTTAGGGCTTAGGGTTGAGGGTTGAGGGTTTGGGGTTTGGGGTTTAGGGTTTAGGGTTTGGGGTTTAGGGTTCAGGGTTCAGGGTTTAGGGTTTAGGGTTTGGGGCTTCTTCGCATGGATTTCGGAGTGTAGGGGCTTAGGGCTTTTGGATGTTGAGATGCTAAGGTTTATGGCTTGGGGTTGGGGCTTTCATGTGGTTTACAGGTCGGTAGGGTTTGAGTTTGGGGGTGTAGAATGAAGGCTTGCAGGAAAAGACAGTTGAAGTAGATGGTTGAGGATTGAGACCGCCAATGTCCCCAGTTGCAGGCCCTACAAATACCCCGAAATTCCCTGAGCTCCAAACCCCCAACATCCCCAAGCCCTAACCCCTACACTCTCAAACCCTAAACCCTAAACCTTCAAACCTTCAAACCCCAAGCCCCAAACCCTGAACCTTCAAACCCTAAACTCTAAACCTTCAAGCCCTAAACCCAAGATGCCCAAATCCTCTCTTGGCACTGCATGGTCTCACGCACGCCAGGGTCTGACATCGAAGTCGCAGAACGACTCCCGGAGTGGCTTTAGGGCGTTGGGGGGGGGGGGCGTTCAGGGGTAGAGGACCTGAAGTTCGGGGGTTCCACTTCGGCCCTGGAGTCGGGGAACCCTTTGAACCCCTGCACTCGGGATGCTCCCCCTTATGCTAACAATCCTGCATCGGGATTATTGTACCCCTAGATATGATCCCTATTTAGGTCTGCTAGTGTAGCCTAAGCCGTTTGAACCCCTGAAAGCCCTGATGCTCTGCGAGACATCAGGAACATGGTCGGAAAGCCCTCCTCAGGAGGTCTCCGTCAGACATATGCAAAAACCACAGCAGTCGGATGGTCCGGGTCCAATCCTAAAGCCTTTGCACACTCTTGAAGTCCCCAGCAGCAAGACTCATACATCAGAACTTACTAGGGATTTAGTCCCCCCTCTTATAATCCCGATTAAGGACTGCTAGTATAAGGGTGAACGTCCCAAATAGAACTTAAGTGCTCGAGAACTTGGCTGAAATCTCAGCTGCTCGCCCTGGGACTGGGCACCTCAAGGGCCTCTCTCCGTTGCCCCAAAAAGAAGGGGAAGAAGGGCACTACACCTTGTGGACGAAATGAACCCTACAAGGGTTTATGGTTCATATGCCTTAATAGGCATATTATAGTAGTATAGGGTATATATACTACTATAGTGCCTATTCATATTTATATGACCCAAACTTTAGGGTTCTCTTGGTCCCCAAGGTACTGGGCACTCCTAGCTCTCAAGCTTCTCGCAGCAGCCAGCGGAGAAAGCTCTCCACGTCCTCGGCCTCCGCAGCGCGCCGGAGCTGACTGTAGCTTTTCCGTGACAGCGTGGGCTCCTTGGTACCCCTTATAATAATAATAACAATAATAGTAATAGTAATAATAATAATAATAATGGTTTTTTGTACATAAGGGAACCTTGAACCAAAAAGAAAAGGTAAAGGGTACTAATGGGCTACCAAGGCTCCAAGGTGCGGAGCACGGCGAAGAGGTTCTCCGCTCTCAGGGCCCCGGCTCGCCGAAAGAGCTGCAGCACCTCCTCTGCGGAACCCTCGGGTTGGGAGGCGCTGCTTGGAGAAACGGGAGAACCGCCCTCCTCAATCTCCAGGAGCTGCTTCGGAGATGTGGTCTCGCAGAAGGCCGGGTCCTTCAGAACGTCGGGGCTCAAGCCGGCATAGCGCCGCGCGAGGGGGCGGGGAATCTGCCGGCACTTGCCCACCTCGATGCTCAGCTTCTGCAGGAGCGGGAGGGCCGACAAGGCACCCCCCAGCAGGTGCAGGGACCTTTGGGTCAACCCGTGGCAGGCCCGGAACCTCAAGGTGCTCCGCCCCATCTCACTGAGGCTCCCGAGGCCGTGGCAGAGTGCCGCCATCCCTGCATCGGTGATGCTTGTGTTGGAGAAGCATATGATGGACTCTTTCAGGCCCATGCCATGGACGCTGTCACCCAGGGCGCTGGCCGCGGCATCGCCCACCTTGGGGCAGTCTGTGAAGTAGAGCTTCAGGATCTGCAGCTGCCCCAGCTGCTTCAGCGCTGCTGCGAGCTCGGCGGCAGATTCCGGGGTCTGGCGGGTGTGCGTGAGGTTCATGTGCAACTTCGTCAAGAGGCGCATGGAGCCGAGGGCCGCCACCAAGGGCGGGATCACGCCCGACGTCACCTTGCTGAGTCCGCGGAGGTTGACATCGAGCTCCCGCATGTTCCTACTCAGTTGCTGAGTTCAGAAGCCCCCCCAAAAGTGTGCACTGTTGGTTTTCAGTAGAGGTTATAGTATCCCAAAAAGTGCAAAGTGTACTCACTCAGCTACTAAGCCTAAGTCTTTGGATGACAGTGAAGATCTGGCAGACGGATTTGTCCGTCAGGCAGCAGCACGTGTAAAAGTCCAAGAACAGCGCCCTCAGCTTCTCCATCTCACCGACCGAATGGGCCAGCTCTAGGACAGAGGTGTCCTAGTTCATGGTTGGGATAGTATTGAAAATCTAGACTTCTATTCTTTATTGAGTTTACGTACCCTTAAGAATGGAAAAATGATTCCCCACTACTTATGACAAAGTGTCGGATAGACCATGGCAGGATCGCAAGTCCAATCGCAGGAGGTCCGTGAGGCTTGGAGGCAGTGCTCTGGCGAGCTGCATGAGGTCGGCATCCTTGAACAAGAGGCTGTTGGCGAAAGAGAGGTGGATGCTACGCCTGGCGGAGTCCTCCTGCAAGGCTCGACACAGGGCGGGCATCAGCTGCTTCAGATTCTTGGACACCACCTGGCTCACACTTGCCAGGGCGAAGATGGATCGCAGCGACCGGTTGACCTTTTCGTAGCACTCCTTCCTGCTCTCTGGCAGGGGCAGTGGCAGCGTGGCGTCGAGATCCTCCTCTGGCATTCCAGCAATGCTGTTCAGGATCCGCAGCCTGTCAACCTCGCGAGAGGCACTGGCCTTTGCAATGTCGATGCCCAGGGCTTTCTGAACCAATTCGATGGGGAATGCCTCCTCTCGCTTCGCCTTCTCCTTGCCACCGGCCCCTGCGCACACGCAGTGCTCGTTGTAGAGCTCCATGGGGGCCAGCCCATCCGTCAGCAGCTGCGCGTTCCCCTGGCTCACGGTGGCGATGTCCAGCAGAAGTCGCCCATTGGGCGTCACTAGGTCCGTGAGGGCCATGGCCAGCTCAAAGCAGCACCACACGCGCGCGAAGGGCGTCGCGTGAGTGTCCAACACCAGCAGCACACCGCCGCAGAGTTGCATTGCACGAAAGAAGGAGCTGTCCCGTGGGTTGAAACGCAGATCGTTGCCGAGCTCGTGCTGGTTGTTGGCATAGGCGCAAACCCAATAGGCCACCTTCTCTTGCAGCTGCCGCACGGAGCTGTGGCCCCGCAGGCACATCACGAAGTCCTGCACAGGCTCTTGCCACGCGTGGGAAACAAACCACTGTGGCCTCTGCACCTCGGCATCGGAAGTAATGAGCTCGACGTAGCTGCACTTGTCCTCTGTGGTCGCCGGACAGATCACCCAGTCTGCCAGGTGGTAGAGGTTCAAGTCCTGCAGGCAAATCGCCGCACCCCAACGGTCACGCCAAGGGAGCAGCCCTGAACTACCTGATCTCGCCGTCAGAAACTCCAGCAACTCCCCCAGCTGGGAGAGCTGAATGCCCCGCTGCTCCGTGGAGGGGATGCGGAGGGGAGAAGGCTTCACCAGTGAGGCGAAGCTGGTAAGATGTATGGGCTCGAGGGGCTGGGCAAGCTCCTTGAGGGCCTGGGAAGGCTTCAGAAGCACACCGCCGTGCGATAAGAGTTGCTGCTTGCAAGGTATCCCGCACCTGGAGTGGATTTGGGGGGCCCCTCTATAATGTACTCCTACAACATGACCTGCATTGGGCCACATAGGGGTCTACAGGGACTTTAAAACGGCCCACAGAACTAATTTTAAGAATCGGTTTCCAAGCAACAGCCCAGGCACAGCCCCACGAGCGCCTCTTGCAAAGCACGGACCTCGAGGGCCGGGCTCAAATCTTTCAAGCTCAGGGCGCCCGCGTCGCCGCCGAAGAAAAGCTCCATCGGCG